TATTCGGCCTATTTGTTTATCCTGATCCTTATTTAACCTACTACAGATGACTGGTTTTCCTAAAATATATCTCTGTTTGACTTTGAGAACATACCTAATGTAACTACAAGTTCAATTGTAATAGTTGACTAATTATTAACCTACATTTTTTTATTATCTTATGCAGTTGTTAATAATAACTTTCAAGGACTAGAATTTTCAATAAATTGTTAAATGAGTTGTATAGGTACAATACCTTGAACAATATTAGAAATATATGTACAGTATTAATTAACAAAATTAATCTCAAATTTGTATTAATTATGATACACAGAAGACCAATCCAATAAAAAATATTAAAACTAGTAGTTGCTTTTTAGACGTATATTCAATAATCTGCCTTTTTATCTCATCATATCTGTACTTTTCAGAAGTAGATTCAATAATCTAGCTTTTTATCTTACTATATCTATATCCTTCCTTTTTTCTTTTCAGAGTTGATTCAATAATCTACCCTTTTTATCCTATCACATCTGTATCCTTTTTTTTTTTAATTAAAGCAAAAACCTTGAATTTAATCCCCTTTGTTTAACTTTCTTTCTGACCACAACCAACAACATTTTGTAATCAATCCCCCTAAACAATGACAAATTTCTATAACCCAAGAGTGACCAAATACAATCTACCCCACCTCTTGGGATGTGGGCATCAGGTTCTTAAAGTTACTTTCTGCTGAGTGAGGGTGGTGGCATCTTTAGGGGATCCTGAAAAGAAAAATTTGGGTTAACTATTACGCTGTGTCATTTTTGTCCAGGCTAAGCATGAAAGGAAAGTCCTGGCTAGAGTATAGTGTGTGAGGCTGGATCATCTCAGATGGTCATCTCAAAGTTGTTCTGAGCAGTGTCTGTAGGGCTGGATCATCTCAGCTGGCCTCCTTGAAATTGTTCTGAGCCATTTGTAGTCAAAGCTGATCTTTAGTTGGTGTTGTTCAGCATAATGGTGTTGTTATAGTCCTGGTGCAATTGTCGTTGTGGGGCCCCATCATCTTTTTGGAGACTTCAAAGGTTGCTGTTAGGCCTCATCATGGTTCACTGCAGAAAGCTGGTAGAGACTCAAACCCACTATCTTGTACAGGAAGGTAATGGAAATCTTTTTCTAGGATTAGTCAGTACTCTATATGACCATTAACATAATGGCAAAAACTTTAAAATACATACATAAATCTTATAATTTTTAAATGTAAATATAATATTTATGATTTAAGAAAAGCTGTTAAAAATCAATATAAAACCAAAGGATTATGAGATTAGTGTCAATACAATAGTCCTTTAATTATTTGTTTTTCTTCTGTCTCATATATGGTGGCTCTTCTGACATGAAACAAAGATTTTAGATTTTTCTTTAACAAGGACACTTGGGTTTAGAGAAGGATAGAGCCACACTCCAACTCCAAAGCCAGCTTTAATCTTTAATTGGACTACAAAAAGACCATTTGTATGATATGTCTGTAGAGAAAAACAAAAATAAACATTTGGGAAGATTTATGAAATTTTATCCTGTTATAAATATGATATACCAATAGGCCACTTTACTCCTTTTCTTGGGACAATTTTTCTGGATTATTGGTTTTTTTTTCTTCAGATGTCTCAATTGTCCAGTGGTCTTTGTATTTCTTAGCAGGATACCTTTATTCTCCAGAAAAGACAAAATTAAAACACTTCATCAACCCTAAATTTTGGAAAGGTTCTCCTTTCCAAATGTGAAAAGCATTTATTAGTTATATAGGTTAGTTTAGATTAAAGGGTCATGCTGCTTGATGTACAATCATCTTTTCTAATTAAGAGGTGTTGTGCTCTTCCTCAGTGTAACACATGTCCTGGTTTTTCTTCAGAGGTCAACTCATCTTTAAAGTAAACTGGCTCAATTGTTTTGTTAATTTGATACAAGCTAGAGTCATTGAAGAGGAGGGAGTCTCACTAGAGCAAGTACCTTCATAAATCTGTAAGGCATTTTTTTTTAACAAAGATTAATTTGTCAAACGCTATCGCCTTGCCTGCAAGAACGACGCTCAACAACAGGATTCTTCTGCAGCTATGTTTATTGCGCGGCTCATTACAGCAAGTTGAGGGAAGACCCCGAGGAGGAAAAAGGGCTCTGCTTATATATGCTCAGAGGAGTCGTGTCAGTTACTGACAGTTGTAGCCCACAACGCTTGTAACGGTCACCCCATGACGTGGATCGCACATCCGTGCCTTGCTGGCGTATGGACAGGAAACCGGTGCCATCTTCGGGAATGGCACCGGTGGCTCTCTACATTAATTGATTTATTAATTGTGTTTTACCTGCATATATGCCTGCACACCTGTTAAGAGTGGGTCATGTCCCCCCCCCCCCCAAGTCTGGTAGCGGGAACGGAGAGTGGACCCCAGAGAGCCCTGAGAGCTTCACTGCTGTCGCCATCTCAGGCCGAGACCCAGCAGCTGCCCGACACTCTCAATGCCACTGACACCAAGCCCGGCCTAGCTCAGTCAGTAGAGTATGAGACTCTTAATCTCAGGGTCATGGGTTCATGCCCCACCATGTTGGGTGCCTTTATGTTAAGAGTGGATCTCGTCCCCCCTCCCCCGCCGCCGGTCTGGTACCACCACTGAGCCAGCCCCAAATAACACACAGAAACTCTGTATTTGATATAATACTGTTAGCCTGTTACTATAATTTCTTATTAGCTAACGCTGTCTTAATTATTAGCCCATTTCTATTAATCTAAGTACTTCCACACACCAGAAGAGGTCACCAGATCTCATCATAGATGGTTGCAAGCCACCATGTGATTGCTGGGAATTGAATTCAGGACCTCTGGAAGAGCAGCCAGTTCTCTTAACTTCTGAGCCATCTCTCCAACACCATAAGGCATTTTTAAAATTAGTGATTGATGTGGGAAAGCCCAGACTGAAGGGAACAGACCCTCACCCGGCCCCGTGCTTTGGCAGCCATGAGAGGCTGCAGAAAAGACCCAGCAAGAGGTAGGCCTCAGCTATATGTGCTGAGCTTCCTGACCTTTAAAGACCTCCCACTCACTGGGTCAGATACCCTCCACGTGGCAAGAAACCAATCAGAAGTTAGCTGGCGGGCTCTGTACTCTACATTAACAGTGACATAGCAATTGCCCTGGGAGGGCCTATAGGCCATAGCAACCAATTGACCAATCAACAAAGGCCAGGTTGCCCAAGCCCGGAAGTGCACCAATCCTGAGACTGTTGCAGACCCCAGACACTCCCATTGCTCCACCCCAATAAATTTCCTGCCCCGAAGTCTCTAAGGGTCCTTCTTGTTCCACTTGCCTTGTCAATGGACAGATGAACTGAGTTAATCATTAATTAATTAAAGACTCTTTGCTTTTGCATCAGATTGGGTCTCTTGGTGATTTTGGGGTTCAGAATTTGGGCACGACACAGACCATTATGAGTGATGCCAACCTGGTCGTCCTGGGTTTTATTGGAAAGCAGGCTGAGCAAGCCATGAGGAGCAAGCCAGTAAATAGCACCTCTCCATAACCTCTGTATCACCTCCTTGTAAGAGTTACAGCTCAGATGGAAAGGTATCCTGGCAACTGGGAGCCAAAGAATACAAATAAAATCACACAGCACAACAAACCTCACACAAGAGATGTACTGAGTGGGAAGAACCCAGGAGGGTGTCTGCCTCTGCTTGGGTGAGGAGTAGCAGAGAATTGGGCAGAACACAAGGGTTATGTAGAGTTTCTTGGGGATAGGGGGTAAATTTTCTAAGGTGACCTGGGATTGGAGGGATTATGTGGCCTGATTTTGGGGTCAGCTCAGGTATTGGTGAGATTTTTTTTTTTTTTTTTTTTTTCTTGTTGGGCAGGGCCTGACCACTCACTCTCTCCCTGGGGCTGGGAAAAGCTGATATAGCTTTAGGAAATGGCGGTTATTGCTTTTAGCGAAGCCTGGGATACAGGACCTCACAAGGTTTACAAAGTATAACAAAGGTTTTGAAGGGAGTATGTGCTCACTTCAGGGAAAGCCTTTCCTGCTGCTTGAGGTGTTGAGGATTGCCAACACTCCTAACTCCAGGTTCCTGCCCTGTTTGAGTTCCTGCCCTGACTTCCTTCAATGATGAACAGTGATGAGGAAGTGTGAGCCAAATAAACTCTTTCCTACCTAAATTGCTTTGGCTATGGTCTTCCAGCACAGTTAGCCCTAAGACATAGCTTTTACTTAAAACCTACTCATTTCTTCTTTATATTTAAATCATCATGTCTAGGTTATAATACCTAAGGCTACATTAATAGCTTTTAAAATGCATTACTTAGTGAATAACAAGAAGGAAAAGGTCTGTATACAGTCACTGTAGACCCTCCTTAACTTCTACCTTGAAAGTTTTAGATCTGCTCTTGGTTCTGGAAACAAGGTTGGAGATATGGGACCTGTTGTTCTTGGCTGACATTCTCGGCCTCAGTTTTGCATTTCAGAGAGTCAACGTTTTATTAGTGTGTCTCAGTAAGTTTACTTAGGGTTGCTTGCAGTTTACCACTGGCTATATACCATTGAAGAAAATGTCTTTTCTTCCCTGTTACAATCTATGGTTCCTGAGTAAGGGCATCAGGGGTCATGAGCCTTCTACAGAACTGAGAAGCACGGGGCTTCACAAGCCCTTCCCAAAAGTCATTTTCAATCATCAACATTTCTGTAACTCTTAGATTTACCTATGGGGGTGTGTATGGAAAGTGTAGACTGGTATTTCTGAATAGATTCTAAAAGTCGGAGGAATTACACTGGTTAATGAAAACGAGGAACTACATCTCCCGGCAGACCTCGGGACAGTTTCTCGCCCACCCTTTCTTTTGCTCTGTGCCACCAATGACAGTTAGATATTTGAATAGACCAATGATAGCATGGAAATGCTCATCTGTAGGCGGGGACATAGGTTCATCCAATCGTACGTGGGTTGAGGAAGCATTCTAACCAATCTCGGTGCTCGAGGGCGGAGCTTGAGGCGGGCCCGCGGACCAAACTGCCGCGGAAGATGGCGACTGAGGCGCTGAGTGGAGGGGAGGCACCGGCCTGCAACTCCGGCCGGAGGTGAGCCAAGTTTTCACTCCTGCTGCCTAGGAGACGGGGCCGTGGGCTGGCGATGTCGCCGCCCTGCCCTTGAGTCACCGTGGCCCACAGGGCCGAGCTTTGTTCCTCGCTCCCGTGGTGTCAACGCCGTCGCGCCAGCGGGGGCTGAGGCACGTCGCTGCGGTCTGAGCTCCCGGCCGTGCGTGGGGCCCGCCCGCCCGCTCTGGCTGCAGACTGCGGTCCGTGACGACCCGTCCCTGCCCTAGCGCTGAGCCTTTTGAATGGAAACTGAAGTCCAGAGCGGTTCAGCGAATGTCCCCCTGCCCCCACCCCCCGGGATATTTAAAGTCTCAGCAGGGACTTGAGTGACTGTTAGAAAGGGATTTGTCCCCCAGGCTGCCTGACCTCTCTCGGCTTCGTTTGTAAAAGAACATATTTTAGAATACAGAGAGTGAAACAATCCGTTTAAAGCGCCCAGCCTGGCAAATACTATTCGAAATGTGATAGATTTTGTGTTTCCTTGGAGAACAGCCGTGGGTTCTACTATCCATGAAATTGTGACTTCATTTTTCTTCTCTCCTAAACGGGAAAGTCGAGTCTGTCTTAATTGATTACAGATACTGGCGACCGATACACTCCAATAGAATGAGTTTATGTACATTGTCTCAGAATATGATCGGTACCATACTTTGATACCAATGGCAAGGAACGGAAGAGTCTTAAGATCTGTGAGAAACTGGGTTTATGAGCCTGATTCTTTCTGAGCACAGATAGGTTTTTTTCATGGTTGACAACCCCCACCCTGACCCTAACTATGCTGTGGGTTGATAAATGTCATTAGATCATCCCTCATCCAACTCGAAAATCCTGAATTATAATGAAAATGAGGACAAATGAAATATTGTTCCACAGCAAGAGGACTCTAAATTCCTCCCCAAGGCTACTGCCAACAGAATCTAAAATTTAAACTGTTAACCACAAGATCAACACAATACAGTTTTATCTGATTCTGAAACCTACTTGCTGTTATTGAGACAGGTTCTTGCTAAGTAGCTAGGCTGGATTGGAACTCCCAGTCTTGCTTCAGTTCTCCAGTACTAATTAATTGCATATTGCAGAAGATAAGTTCAGGGTTCTTGTGAGGCTAATTTATTTATTTATTTATTTACTTACTTACTTTTTTTTTTTGTTGTTGGCTTTTTCTGTTCTGTTTTTTAAGACAGGGTTTCTCTTTGTAGCCCTGGCTGTCCTGGAACTTGCTCTATAGAACAGGCTGGCGTTGAACTCAGAGATCCACCTGCCTCTGCCTCCTGAGTATTGGAAGTGAGCCACCACCGCCCTACTTTTTTTTTTTTTTTTTTTTTTTTTTTTGGAGACAGTCTCGTAATCCAGGTTGATCCTCCTGTCTCTGCCTCCCAAATGCTGGGATTACAGGCATCTGCCACCAAGCCCAGCTGTATATAGTGCTAGGAATGAAACCCAGGACTTCATGAATGCTAGTCAAGCATTCTACTGATTGAGCTAGTCCAGCCCCATTTAATTCATGGGACTAAAAAGATTTAAATCTATTACCTACCGTATGTATGTGTGTGTGTACATAGGTGCCACAGTAGAGGCCTGGGAGGTCAGAAGACGACTCACATGTGGAGTTGGGTCATCAGACTTGGCAGTAAGTGCCTAATCTTACTGGCCCAAGCAAGGTGCATAGTTTAGCCTTCACAGATATTTTGTATAGCTTTCTTTTGGTGTCTCCAGTAGATATGAGGGAACATCTTCTTCATGAGAAAAGCTTCTGTGAGAGGCATGCATTGTAGCAGTGGGTATAGGAGTGGCTGTAGATTCAGTACTGGGCAGTACTTTGGTTAATTAACCCTGTGGGGACCAATACTGCTTGCTCTAGGAAGAAAAGCCTAGGAAAGGGAAAAAAAAAGGGAGTGTGACAGCTGTCTGTCAGACATGGAGATGTTCAGGCTGGGTTAGCAGGGTTTCTTACATTCAGCCTAGGTCATACTCTTTGGAGTTGGGTGCCCCTGCATTTGGATCATCTTCACTGCTACACTCTGGAGAAGTCGAGCTTCATACCATTTTACTGAGCAAACGCATTAAGAACAGATACCATGAATCTAAATTCTTCAGTCTGTGTTTCTTTGTTTCAAATAGCAATGATTTAACTGTCTGCTTAGTAAATGCTAGCATAAAAAATTTGAATTTGTAAAGTGCTGTTATTTTAAAAACTTTAAAAATAGCTAGGTATAAAATTCTCTGTTCTCAAATTAGGAGATTTAGAAGAGGGACAAGTTGAACTAGAGGGTTGAATGTTCCTTTATTAACTGAAGCCCCCAAATGGGATTTTGCTGATTCCATTCAGTTTAGAAGACTAGCATTAGAATCTCATCTTTGGAGTATAGTTTGCTATTTGGTAGGGACCATTTAAAGTAACTTGTTATTACATTTTTTTTTCTTTTTATGGAACCGGGTATTTTATTTACATTATGAAGCAGTTGATACTGTATATCACAATTTCAGGCATTTATTTCTGGGCTCTCTACTTTCCTTGTCCTCTTTACTTCTTGTTTTTAATCTATTTGGTAGATGAAAACATATGCAAAAACTAATAGATGCAAGCCAATAGAGAGCCCAGTAGTGCAAAGAACACTTTGAGCTTTCCTCCTTTCTGAGATCTGTCACCAGTAACTTGAACCTAGTTGGGCTTCTCCCATGTTTACTGCCCCCACCTCTCTCCTTTGTGATGTTGCTGAGGTACCTATTGCTGAGCTATATCTCTGTCCCTGTTTTTTTTTTTTGCTTTAAAATCAGAATGGTTTAGATGGGTGTGGTGGTGAATACTTGTAACCCCAGTGCTGGTGAGGCAGAGGCAGGAGAAGCAGGAGCTCAAAGTCAGCCTCATCTGATGTAGAGAGTTTGAAACCAGCCTGGGCTACATGAGACCCTGCTCAAAACAAAACAAAGAAACTAAAAACAAAGCCAAAATCCATTATCTTGGGCAATGACTATATGCTATATAGTAATTCTGAGTAATGACTAACATTTTACAGAATTGAAGATCAGGTATGCATGTACCTGTATTCCTTAGTACTAGAGTGGCTGAGACAGCAGGATGGTAAGTTCAGGGTCAACTTGGGCTAAAGTTAGTGAGACCTGTCTCAAAAAACAAAATATCAAAAAAAAAAAAAAAAAAAAAAAAAAACAAAACAAAACAACAACAAAAAAAAAAAAAAAAAAAAAAAAAACAAAAAAAAACCCCAAAATACCCAAAAACCAACCAACCAAACAAAACAAAACTCTTCAAACTAATAAATTTCCAATAAGATGTTCCAGAGCAAAAGCACAGACTGATTCTTAGACAATTTTCATCATTCTGCATTTTGGAACACACAGATGTAGACTTAGATTTGCTTCTCTGTACTAATTGCCTGGGACTCTTGTGCCACATCAGCTCCAAATAATACACAGAGATGCTCTGTTATATATAAACTGTTGGCCTATTACTAGAGTTTCTTATTGGCTAGCTCTGTCTTGAATATTAACCCATTTCTATCAATCTAAGTATTTCCATGTAGTCTTATCGGAGAGAGGGTTCAGAGTTCTGCTCTTTTGGTCCTACATTTTAAATCTGCCTCTTCCCAAATCCTCCTTGTCTCCTAGTCTGGCTTATCTTCCTTTCCTATTGGCCAACAATGCTTTATTCATTAACCAATATGAGAAACATATTTACAGAATGACATCTCCCATCACTTTTGCCATTTAAAGTCTATACAAAATAAATTTGTATTGGGTAGTGGTCCCAGCACTCAGGACACAGAGACATGAGGGTCTCTGTGAGTTGGAGGCCAGCTTGGTCAACAGAGTGAGTTTCAAGATAGCCAGGGCTACATGGAGAAAGCCTGTCTTGAGCCCCTCCCCCAAAAGAAAACAAACTTGCAAATCTTTGACTCTACTTGTTTGAGGAGTTAGAGATTTGACATATAAATGGATAAGAGGGAAACCTTGTTAGTGAGATATAAATATTCCTCAAATAGAGAATTTTGATGTTTCTTTAAGAAATTGATTTTATTTATGTGTATGTGTATGTTTGTGTGAGTATATACTACATGTTTGCAGGTATCCATAATAGGCCAGAAGAGGGTATCAGGTCCCCTTAAGCTGGAGTTACAGGTGATTTTAAACTGATATGGGTGCTAAGTACTCTTAATGACTGAGCTGTCTTGCCAGCCTCTGATGTTATTTTAAAAGAACAACAACATCCCCACCCCCATTATTATGTGTTTGTGCCATGGCACACTGTTGGAGGCCAGAGTTCAGCTTTCAAGAGTTGGTTCACACTTGTCACTTTTTGGGTCCTAGAGATCACAGAGTGTTTGGGTCCTAGAGATCACAGGGTGTCAGGCCTGGAAGCAAGCACCTTTACCCACTAAGCCATTTCACCAGCCCATTGGTGTTCTTTTTTGTAATGCAATTAACTTCCTTCTCATTCTACATTGTTTTGGGGAAGGAAATTATGAGAGATGTCAACTTACAAGAGTAATGCCAATTCTTCTGACACTCAAAATAATAAACATTACCAATAAGCCACACTCTTCCATTAGATTCCAGTGTGTGGGTGACAAGGTAAGCTTAGCTCAGAGTTCTTTCCCCTCTGGTTTGTCAGTTTTTGTTAAGTTGTTCTTGTAGCTTCAAATTAAGTTGAGATCAAATATAGGGGCTAAATGCATTTTGCTGATGGTTGTAGCCTAGGAGATAAGTATAAGCATTGGGGCTCAAATGGAAGGGTATCCTAGCAGTTGGGAGCCAAGGAATACCCCAAAGTCACCATGAGCATAGCAGTTTACAGTCTTGCTCCAGAGAAAGGTTTCCCCAATGTAACAATTTTGCTCTGTCCCCAGCAAAGTTGTTACAGCTGGGCTACTCTGCTTGAGGGAAGTGTTAAAGGTACAGTGAAGTGTTACAGCTCTGCCTAGGTGACCTGAATGTAACAACTCTGCTTCTCTAGGGAAAAGTTT